ATTTTCATATTTTCCGTCCCAGCTTCTCCTATTTCAGCATCGCGCCTCCAGAGCCCTGTGGTTTGATGACTGCTGTGCACTTTCTTCCAGCTTCACACACTGGTTAGTCTTTTGTTTGCTTTGTCAGCATAACATTTTTTTTTTCCTCCATGGTGTTTGGAGGCACTCCAAAGATTCACAGATGCAGACCTCTGGCTGGGAAGCCTGTGGTGGTGTTCTCTTTCTTCCCATAAGACTTTCTATGGCTCAGAATTCTAAGGGAGCCCCGGATCCATTAATCAGAGGAATTAGAGGAATACCTCTATCAAGACGAGGGGTCTGAGCAAACACACTCAGACCCCTAGTCTTGACATTCAACTCAGAGATGAAGGGGGTTTTGGAGTACAGAGCAAGAGTAGGTGTGCAGGGGACTATTGCTCTATCTGATGGGTGTGTGGTAAAGATTTTCTCCCATTCTGTTGGCTCTCTCTTCACTTTATTGACTGTTTCCTTTGCTGAGAAGAAGCTTTTTAGTTTGAATCCATCCCATTTATTGATTCTTGATTTTATTTCTTGTGCAATGGAACCACTATTTGACCCAGCTATTGCACTCCTCAGATTATACCCAAAGGACTTAAAATCAACATACTACAAGGATGCAGGCTCATCAATGTTTATAACAGCTCAATTCACAATACCTAAACTATGGAACCAATTTATATGCCCTTCAACAGATGAATGAATAAAGAAAATGTGGTATACATACACACAATGGACTATCACTCAGCCTTAAATAAGAATGAAATTATGGCATTTGCAGGTGAATGGATAGAACTGGAGAAAATCATGCTAAGTGAAATAAGCCAACCCCCCCCCCCCCCCAAATCAAAGACCAATGTTTTCTCTGATAAGTGGATGCTGATCCTTAATGGGGTTGGGGGGTGTAGGATTGAATGAAGAAACTTTGGATTGGGTAGAGGAGGCTGAGGGGAGTGGAGTGGGTGTAGAGGTGGTAAAGATGGTAGAATGAGACGGACATTATTACCCTATGTATGTGTACGATTGCATGAAGAGTGTGACTCTGCATCGTGTAAACCAGAGAAATAAAAAGTTGTGCTCCATTTGTGTAAAAACAAATAAATAAATAAATAAAAGAGTAGGTAGTGTCATTTTATGACTGTCCCACCCTCATCATCATCATGGGGTTGCATTGGAAAGAGATGAATGAGAGAAGGGTTTCTGGATCACTTGCATTGTTTTTCTTAAAGAAAAGCATGGCGGCAGTTCGAGGGAGGAATACATAACTAAGCATTACAGAAATACCATGATTTTCCTTAGATATAATTCACTTTTTAAACATACATATTTTTTAGTTGCATTTAGACACAACATATTTATTTTATTTGTTTATTTTTATGTGGTGCTGAGGATCAAACCCAGGGCCTCACATGTTAGCACTCTACTCTGCTCCCTAACTTAGGCCTCTTCCCTGCCCCCATTAAAGAATATAGTCTCTTATGGGAGGAAAATAGGAAAAGATTGCTATGAGGGTGAGCATGAGATTTATTTTAGTTTTGGAGAGTTTGGTATAGTAGCAAATAAAAAGGATAAAACAGTTACTTTGGGTTGATTAATATCTGAGTCACAAATTCCTAGAAAAGAAATGAAAGATGCAGACTTTGCCAACTTAACTGTCAATCTAAGAACACGAGAATCATGTCTAAATGCTTAATTCCTGCACGGGTTAGAAAATTTTTATTTTTTTGAAGCAAGAAAAAAAAAAGGCAGAAATGGGATGTGTATGGTTGTTATTTTTCTAATATTCTATTTCTTAGCAAGGTAAAGATAACATCTATCTTTAAATCATTATGATAAGTGGAAAAATATTTTAAAAGTTATTAGCACAGAGCCTGGCACATAAACAGTAGCCTTTTGGAAAAGATTTCTTTCACCTGCCTTGTTCCCTGAACTCCAAGTTGTTTGACCTGCCATTAAATTTATAATCAACAGAAGAATGCAGACTTCCACAAAAGAAGTTCACATGGGAAATCCCATATAGCTTGAAATTACTGATGGCTTAAACATTTCCCATCAATATTTACTTTTTATTCAAGTCCGCTGCCTTTTCTCCAACCAACCCAAGTTTACTTCCCTCACCAACAGTCTACTGATTAGCTGGTAAGGATGATTCTTCACCTACCTTCTCTTTAATAAGGGTTTGGAAGTACTCATTATTTTTTCATGGTTTTCCTATCTGTGAATTTATTTATGGTGGGTTATAAAATAAATTTATTTTTAAATCCCTATTTGCATTTACTCTATACATAAGAAATATCATATTAATCCATTTAGGTTCTTAGTATAGCTTTCTTGTTATTTTCAAGCTGAAGGAGAAAAACCTAAAAATATATGTGTATTCTCCCTCTCCCTCCCCCCCCCTCTTTCTTTTTGGTATTGGGGATTGAACCCAGGGTACTTTACCACCAAATCACACCCCAGCCCTTCTTTTTAAATTTTTTTTTAAGGGAGGGTCTTGCTAGATTGCCAAGGCAGGTATGGAATTTGCAATCCTCCTGCCTCCCTGCTGGTATTACATGCGTCACTGTACCCTGTTTATTCTCCCTAATTATGTGGCTTAGAAGCAGGGGACAAATAAACTACGTGACTAGGTCACAGTGACACTCTTCTAGACAGATCTACAGAGACCAGCTACATGCATGATATAAAGCAGAGTTTGCAAATCTCTGATTCTTCCTAAGAATGACATTAAATGAATCACAAGGAGCTGACAGGTCCTTAAGAAAGGACTGAAATGATTGTGGAACAGAGAAATCGCTTATGTGTTGCCCAACTTGCACTGACTCAGGGACAACTCTGGTTTTCTCTATAATAGGAAGGGACTCTAGCTACTTCATGGCAATGTGTAAACAATAAATGGTCACCAGACAACTTTAATTCTTCATTGGCTAATAGGAAATTATTTTCAGGTTCTCCTTACTCTGAATTTACCATGTTTAAAGTGGGGAAAATTCACATTTCACAATGATGATTCATCTCAACAGGAAAAATATACAAATAACTACACAGGTGCAGAATGAACATTACATTTTGCAAAACAAAGAATAGTAACCAAAAACAAAGACAAAGTAATAATTTTCAAGCAAAGAAACCAACATTTTCATACATATCTGTTTGCCTAAGAAAGGGACTAAAAGGTCGTAAAGGAATTAAAGATAACTTGTTCTAAAACTGTGGGGAAAATGTCAGTAAGCCTCAATCATTCAAATAGAAATCACAAATCTTTAGACCCTACCAGTTAGTAACAGTGAATGACAAAACAAAGAAAACTTGCTGGTGGGGAAACAGATTTTCTAAAAATAAACAAAATATAACCCCCAAAGTATGCTGAAGTAAAAAATCACTTAGCATTAGAATTTACATATAATCACTATTGCTATAGAACCGTTTATGTATTTGTTATAGGCTATTCAGCTAAAAGTTACTGGGTAGAAGATGTTTATTGTAGGTACAAAAAAAAGAAAGGTGAGCTGAGATATTTGAGACATTCATAGGTTAGTTTCCTCTTAGTACTCTAAATTAAAGAGGTGTTACATATTTCTTGCTTCTGAGGTAAGCCAATGTTGTTGTAATCAATATTTTTATATGTGTGTTTATAAGTCCAATAAACGTAAAACATACAGAAAGAAAATTTGTGTTTTTAGTCTCAAAATTACTTGGAAAAGCAGACTTAAAAATTTCAGTATTGAAACTCAGTTATGGGCTCAAGTCTATTTATCTATAAAATGGAGACAATAATAGTATTTAACTCATAGGATAACTGTGAGGTTTAAAACAAATGTTCATTTAAATAGCTTCAAATAGCATATGGTGTTTAGTATATGCTGGTTATTGCTACCATTATTGTTACTATTATTTTGATTTACTATTATTTAGGTTAATTTTTTAAAATCTATTCATGGCTCCTCTTAATTTTCTGAGAAAACATAAACAATGTTTTCTCAATGTTTGATGATGTCTTCATTCCAAAAGAATCATGGAATTTTCTCATTTAAATGATTTAGTATATAAAACTAACAATACAAATGTAATGTTGCCCTTATCAGATTTGTCCAATGTCATGCTCTCTTTCTCTATAGCTGGGGACCTATCTGCGCCCAAATGTTTTCTTTCCCCTAAGAGATCAAGTAAAGTGCAGGGCAACTCACTTGGTGAATTTAGTGATCTTAATGTCAAAAGAGCTCAGCTATGATGGGGAATGTAGGGCTCTGTACTATGCAAAGTTGATTAGCATCCTCCTAAGCACCCAGTAACCAGGCACTTCCTACTGCACTTGACCAATGGAAAGATGGCAATTTTTCTAATCTTCTATGGATTGTGTCTGGCAAATATAAATATATGAAAGTTATAAGATGGTCTAAGTGTATTTTCAAGACATTTGAAGTTAATCATTTGCAAAGAGTAAAAGGATAATGCCTTCATTTTAAGACTCGTTAAAGGAATAACTAAAATGATTACTATCCCAAAACACAATATCTCATGCTGGATTTGTATGTTTTTCTCTGTCTCATGGATTATGTGAGATCATCTTAAAGATTCATGTTTGAGTAATAAACATTACCTACCAATCAGCTCCAAAGAATCCAAGAGAGAGTAGAATTTGAACTACAAAAGCCATGGCGCAATGTCAATTATTTTGTTATTTTCCTTTCTTTTTATTTTATGTTTTTGGTAAAATGATTTTGACAAGGAAGTGTTTATCACTTCATAGTAAACAAAGGTGACTCTCTCAAAACTGCACAAGATATGAATAATAAATGCTCATGGCTGGGTGTGTAGCTCAGTGATAGAATGTGTGCTTTGTGTGCACGAGGCCCAGAACTGCAAAAAGTGAAAATAAAATTTAAAAAAATGCTGTAGGTTTCATTCCCTTAACCACTGTAGAGATGGCTAAGTTCTTTATGGAGGTAGAACTTTGTGTTTAGGTAACGTGGGAAGATTACCTGTCCCAGGGATCGCCAGTCCAAACCGGCACTGCCAATATAAACGTGTTGTTTGTCCACAATCCAGAAGGAGGACTGCAGCCGGCCCTTGTTGTAGGCAGTCATGTTCATGTAGGTCACCTCAGCTCCTAGGAGTTCAAGGAGATGCCGGTCAGCCTTTGTTTCAAGGTTCTGTACTGCCAATCAGTCAATGACCTGCTGCAATACTCATGGTCTGCCCTTTAACACAATTGAAACTTGGGGAAGCCAGCCAAGGCCCTGAAAGTGCCACTCTGTTCCCAAAAAGAAGACTCCAAAAAGAACTAAAAAAAGAACAAAACAGATTTTCCCTACATATTCGCAGAGGAGGCTCTGTACATAGTGACAAGACCATGACCTCTCAAGTCACCCAGATCTCTTTGAAAATCCTGTTCCAACACTTACCATCTGGAAGGTGAGATAAGTGGACAAAACACTTCTCTCCTTTTTCTTTTGGAATAATTTTAATAGACTTTTGCTTCAAATAAAAGGATCAGCCTTGCTCAATATTAATAATCTCCCCAATAAGAAATGGGCCTTCTTATGCTTTCTCTACATTATTTCGCCCATCTTGCTCTTTCACTTGCCTTTACTTTTTCATTTCTCCCCTTCATTATTTAGTTTGGGTTTGGTTTCTTCTTGGCCTTTCTTTATCTGATCATTCTTAACCTGAGCAATGATTATTCAAGCCTTTACTAAAACTGCAATCTTGGACAGTTTAATCACGTAGATGACCATTAAAACCAAAAACACTTCCAAAGAGCTGAATTTGATCAATTGCTTTAATCCAAATGTGGTAGACTTCACAGTCAAGTCTTCAAGTATTGCTGTCTCAAATTCATTGAAAACCTCTCAAAAGGAGCATTAGTCCATTCATTACCAGGCCATTTAAATACATTTCTGCTAAAGGTCCATTCTCTTTAAAAGAACTGACCTATATACATATCTTTAATGAATTAAACTGTTTTGTCTTTAGATAGCCACTATTAATGGAGAGAATATATTCTGGTAGCACACTTCATTGTCAGAATCTTGGTTGCCAGGAGTATATAACATTGTATGCTTAACGATATCAAGGTCATGGGTTCAAGTTTCAGAGGCAAAGCCCCAGGCCAGGAGGTAAGGGCCAGACAATGTCATACAGGGTTCAAATTGTTTCTAGGCAGAATAAGGCCTTGGTAAGAGTTATGTGCTGCAGGTAGAATCTGGAGGTAAGCCCCAGGATCACCTTCATGCTTTTCTTTGTAAAAACTATAGAAGATCCTTCCTTTAATGATGGCCAGTTTATTGCTATTAAAAGGTGTGGCCAGATGAAGTTGAACTGTGAGTGTGTAAATCACTCTCCTGAAAGGCAGAAGAGTGATTTACATCATTTAACCTCTAACTTTTGGGAAAATGCAACTCTAGGTTTCTTGTGGCAAGAGGATGAAAAGAGAGGCTCTGCGGTTGGGGGAAGATCTGAGGGGCTAGGAGCACCCAGGCAGATTTTATTTGAGGGTGGGGTAATTTCTTTACTCGAGGAGCAATGGGAACATGTTCCTCAGCTTCTAGCCATCCTGGTATATGAACATCCAAGGAAGAGTGCCAGATGCCGGATGAGGAACCACACTGGGTACTATTTGATATGGCAAATGCTAACAGGTATTGCAGAATTTGAACGTCCAAAGCAGGAGATTGCCGTGGCTATTGTAGAGAGACCTGAATCTTCACGGAGGGTACACAGACCCAGAGTCACAGCTGTTCTTTGGAGATCCTCTTAGTTTCCTAGGGATGCCATGACAGAGCACCACAAACTGGGTGACTTAAAGCAGCAGACACTCATTCTCTCTCAGTTCTGGAAGTTAGCAGTCCAAAATTGGGCAGGGTGAATAGCAGAGCGATAGAGTGCATATTTCACAAGAATGAGGTCCAGAGTTCAACCCCCCCGCACCACGAAAACCAAACAAACCAAACATAGATATTCAAAGTCAAGGTGTTGGCAGAGCCATGCTTCCTCTTTTGAGAATCCTTCCTTATCTCTTCCTAGTTCTAGTGGCTGTCAATCTTTGGCACCCCTTGGCTTGCAGTGGCAACACTTCATCTCTGCTCTCTTGTCACATGGCATCCTCTCCTTGTGTCTGGGTTCTCTTATGAGGTCACTAGTCATGTTGGATTAAGGCCAAACACACTATAGTCTAATCTCATCTTGACTGATTTATACCTGCAACAAATGTATTTCCAACTAAGTTCACATTCTGAGCTAATGGAGAGTTAGATCTTCAACATATCTTTTTTTTTTTTTTTTGCAGGGGTGGGGAACAATTTAACTTCATCTGGCCACACTTTTCAATAGCAATAAACTGGCCATCATTGAAGGAAGGATCTTCTATAGATTTTACAAAGAAAAGCATGAAGGTGATCCTGGGGCTTACCCCCAGATTCTACCTGTAGCACATAACTCTTATCAAAGCCTTATTCTACCTAGAAACAATTTGAACCCTCTATGACATTGTCTGGCCCTTACCTCCTGGCCTAGGGGTTTGCCTATGAAACTTGAACCCATGACCCATTGCTACCTTGCATGGGACTGTTTATTAGTTCTTAAAGTCTCCATCTATTCTCACTAGGTCCCTTGCAACCCCCCCCCCCCTCCACTGGCTCTCTGAGAATGCACTGATCTTATCTGAAGGGCCCTACAGGACCCTACCTTTTGACCTCTCCATCCCATAATGAATATATATTGCCCTAAAATTATCATATTACCATGTTACTTTACCTTGTAATTTAGCCTAAAGAGTTTGATTTAGGAGATCCTGGGTCTTATGTGACTCTCCATCTAGAGCCTCTATAGCTCCCTATTGATGACTAAAATTATTTTACAAAGAAACAGTGCTTTCTTTTGGAAAAGGTCCAGCTTTCTTTTATTGAATAATATATACCAGAATGTTAAGCTATGTGAAATTAGGGATAAAAGGTCTAAAGTGACTGATTAAAATTCAGGCATACTAAAGTGTTATCTCAGTTCATTTGGGCTGCTATAATAAAATACCATAAACTGGGTAAGTTAAAAACAGCAAAGAAATTTATTTCTCACAGTTTTCTAGAGGCTGGGAGGTCCAAGTTCAAGGAACTGGCAGATTGGGTGTCTGGTGAGATCCCACCTTCTGTTCCATAGATGGTGCCTTCTCACTGTGCCTTCACATGGGGGAAGGAGCAGAGGGTTGTTCTGGGATCTCTTATAGGGCATAAGTCGTCTTCATGAGGACTCTACTCTCATAACCTCATCACCTCCCCAAGGCCCTACCTTGGTGGTTAGGATTTCAACATACAGACTGTGGTGGACACACACAATCACTCTACAGCAGTGTCATCTTTGGTCAGGATGTGCTCTGTTCCTGCTGTTCAGAGAGGAAGAGGGCACCAAGTATGTAAGAGATCAAAAAGGGGAGTCCCCATCACTGTATTAGGGAATCTCTAGCGAAGGCTGAGGGCATGGGAGGCAGCAAATGGCTTCACTGTTCTGCGCAGGGCTAGAGACAGCTTCATAAAAACCAGCAGAACTCTGTGTAGAGATGGAGTAATATGTAACAATAGTAACTCCCATTTATTGAATTATGTGCCTAGAACCAAGAGATTCGTGTTACAATTATCCTAGATAGCATATCTTATTTCCCTATTTTAGTATACACTCATTTGCTGTGTAAAGATGTTCCTGTCAATGACTAATTGTCTAGTGATACTGTAGCCATGTTAGTTTTTCTAAGTATATGTTAGGATGCTTACACAATGATAAAAATGACCAAATATCACAATTTTCAGAACCTATACCTGTCATTAAGACAGCCATGTTATATAATAAACTACTATATTATGTAATGTAAGAAAATCTACTGAAAATGTTTAGTGATGTATCTAGAAATATCATTTCCCCATTAAGAATTATCTATTTTTCTAACTATCTTTCATTTGTCTCTGAAAACACATGCTTTTATCTGAATTTGTAACTGGATAGACATTCATTTCATCATCTCCAATGTTTAACCTAAGTTTATCACAAGCATATTAGTCAATATTTTACTTAAAGGAATTTATATTTAAGTACACTTTCAGATTTTTTGTGGATTGATTTAAATTTTTTCCTTATACTGGTGGTTTTTCATATTTATTAGAAACAGATATTAAAATCCAATCTTTTCTGAGTATAAAATATATTTAATTATGAAATGTCTTTAATAATCTACTTATTGAAGTAGTATTATGCACATACCTTTATATTAAGTTGTTTCTTTAAACGTTTAGATTTTTAAGATTGTATCTTTAAGTCCAGCTTGATTCAAATAAACACATTTTATTACAACTTTAGAAGTATATTTAGTTAAGCTTGATTAAACAATTTTCATTTTCACATATTTATTTTTAGTGAGAAAAAAATACATTGCACCAGTTCTTCTGTGTGCAGCCCACAACCCATGGGGCGGAGACCTCAGCATATCACTGGGAGAAGTGTACATTACAGCCACATGCTGCATCAGAACTATCGTTGACAGCTGTGCACAACTGCGGCTCTTGAGTCCAGATCTCTGCAGCGCCTCCTTGTTTAGCCTGACACCCTACTTGTTTCACTGATGATGAATAGGAACTATTAGCAACTTGAATGCTTTTCAATGCCAAAAACAATAAATCAAGTGCATGTACCTGTTTCTTCAAATGCTTTATAAAATGCTTTAAAGATATCTCGGCAGTCCTAATTAAATTTCAGACAAATAGATAAAAGAACCAAGTTCAGAACTTGAAGCTGTACTGACCTAACGGTGTGAACAGAAAGCTCCTAATTGGTTACATGAATCAGGGTAAAGCAGTATGGATAATCCCCAGGTTTGACTTGTGAAGTCAAAGGTTAAAAGTCTTGAATTTCCAAATTACTCATTACAACTCCGTTGAGCTTTAAATGCTTGGTTGAAATTTGATAAAGAATGCTCCTGGCTTTTGAGGGGGTTGTTTCTTTACTTATTATAGTTTGGATCTGCAATATCTCTCATAGGCCTATGTGTTGAAGGCTTGCTCCCCAGTGCAGCAGTGTGGGGCGTTAGGGAAATGATTGGATTATGAGGGCTTGGACCTTACCAATGGA